TTTGGACATGCGGGTGTTGCACTCATAGCAAAAGAAGTATGCCGTGTCGTGTCGTAGTGGACGGTTAGAATGACGTATCGCATGAATTGAAATTCGAATTACTGCCACAGCCATCGTATTCTGGCCCTTAACGACTGCTATTTGTTTTCAAATTTCCAAAGGTTGATTGAAGAAAAAATATTTGGATCATTTATGAGGTGAATGTGCAGAATGTAGCGTGTCTTGAATGTCTAGACGAATCATTGTATAACAAAGTTATCGAACCCATGCTTTGCATGCTGCCTTTTTGAATGTTATATATCCAAGTTGCAATAACTCAAAATAGAATTCAGCACCAAAGTACACCCAATTTAAAGTAAGAGATCTGCCACTCATCTATATATTGAACTCTACCAACTGTTTTTTTGATATAGTAGGTTAGGTTGGATTGTTTCTATCCTGTGGCAAAGGAGAAATGGATTCAAAAACAAAAGTGACATTATATAGCAAAAAATGGAATTTTGTTGCATATTTCATTGGAAATTGTATAACATTAGTTTAGAGAATGCGCTCTTGAAGGAGTCTGATGAATACACTTAAAAATATATTACGCAATCCCGAAACGATAGGAGATATGTATTACCAACTTAGGCATGTCCGTTCGCAAGTCTCTCGTCGTAAGACTCACGACTGCAAAAATAAATCAAGTAATAAGTGTATTGTATAACCGCGTCCACTTCTACACTATTTTACACTTGGGTTTTAGGTAGTGCCTTCCAAGTATTTGTCTTTCAAATATTTACTTAATTGTGGCAAAGCACGCATTCGCTCATATCAAGTAACGTTTAATTTTGCTTTTTTGATGTTAATAAACATATATCTTACTTTCAACTAAAACCGAAACAAATTTTAACAGAAAGAAAAAAATTGTTATTAAAAATTCTAATCTACAGACTGGGCTTGGTTTGGCTTAACTGGCGCTTAACGGCAATCGTCTGAGTTTCTTTTTTCTTTGTATTCGTAATTAATTATTTCAATTTTTAATTGGCTAGAAAATAATTGTTGATAATTAATACTCGGTTACAGTCGTACTATATATACTTCATTGCCTCGAAATTAACTCATTTATAACAATTAATTTAAAGTTAAAAAAAAAAGAAAAAAAAAATAAAAATAATTATAAAACAAACAGCGAAACTAAAGCGTTCCTTAAGTAAACTTTTCCATCCCGTTCAAACAAAGTTAAAAGGAAATTTTTTGATATGCGCACGAGCTTAGAGTTACGTATTTAATGCAAAAAAGTGAAACATTTCAAATAGTCTTGATCTTGAACCCCATGCCAAAAGCTCCCTAAAATAATAACATAACAATAAAAAGCCACAGGCAAACATAATCCGCTTTAATAATTTGCAGACAGACAGACAGAAATCTTGTTTTCATATCGCTGTTTGTTGTTACTTAAACACACATCATACAGCGCATGCGCATGAGATTTTATGTAATATAAGGCAACGCGATCGTTAAACAGATAACAATTCATATAAAATTTTATAGGAATTCTTTTTTATGATTAAAAAAAAAAGTTTTTCAACTCATACAAAATTGTTGTATAACAAAATGCCAACACCCTCGCGTCGACTTGAGCAACTGTTAAGCTAATGGTCAATAGAAATACTTTGATCGATCAAGATATATTGTATGATTGTATGATACTTGCATATATATGCATATGCCCGTCCATAATATATAACAATATAATGTTGATATCAAGTTATTAACATATCGTTGGCATTCAAGTTTGGTCAAGTACTTTTCAAATAATTATAAATGTAGCATGTATGTATGTATGTCTGTGGTATTCATTGATTAATAATCTTTTGATGAATTTCATTAACTCATTCTTATACTGAGGATTACGCTGCAAAAGAATGCAAAACTTTGGCATTGCAGCCCTATCCTCTCAACTCTAATCAGACTTACTTAGGGCCTTCTCATCCATATAAGCGCAATATTTACATCTTCTTCATTATATTACGTGAAGAAATAGTTTGCGAAAAAGACTGGTACGTTCGATGTCATGACATTTCTGCCGAGCTAAACATCAACCAAGCAATAGTTTTAAACATTTATACTATATAAGGGTAGAAAACCAAAAAATTCAATATTTCGCGTTACGATATGAATTCATATCGAAAAATGTAACGAAATGTAACGAATATAAACGAAATGAGAACGCTACACTTTCGGCGAGATTGCTAACGATAACGCCAACGGAAAGTCAGTAGGAGAGCGCAATCTTAGAGGCATGAAGCTGCACAAATGATAGGAAATAGCAAAGCCAAGATTAACTCCACATGTGGCAATACTTTGTATTTGGTCGATTTAGAAGGGGTGCATGCATTATTGGTTGGTCTAACCTCACCACCAGGTGATTGTCAACAAGTAACACGATTAAAGCAAGCAAGCAATTGAGATGAAGCATCCAAAATTGACCAACAGAAAAAGGCCCGTCTGGCATCACGACAATACCAGCAGGCGGACGTATTTAACGTAAACGTTGGGCGGGAGCTTTTACAGCATTCACAGCATAGGTGGTGGCTGTGTCTCGTTTCACCACCTCTTGTTACACTCACTTCACGCTCCTTTTCATGGTGTCAAGCTTATCTTGAAAGATTCCTTTTTACCAAACTACTCAACTCACTTCGTACAAACTCCTCCTCAGTAACGGTCGCAATTTTTCTATGTTGCTTTTTAAAGGGAAACCAAGTAAAAAGCATTCTTCCTCAATAATGTAAAAGAATTGTTCTGAAGCACCTTTTTATGCTACTTGTGCGTCCCAAACATGTTCATATCATTGGTGTTGCATGAAATTTTATGAAATTCTTCATTTCATATAATCCATTATTTTTACTTTTTTTTTTTTCTTTTAGTTTGAAATACATTTTAACTCTGCTTATGGTTGCATGTGATTCACCAATAATATCTGCTTTCATTTCCATCACTTCCTCCTTGAAAGGTTTGTAAAAGTCATATGGTCTAGTCCTTTTTTCATCCAAACAAAGTTACGTGCTCTAGTAGGTGAAGATGTATACAAGTGCATAACTTCTCGATGAATTTAACAAATTAAGGATCAACCCAATCATGTCTCTGGACTTTCTCGTAAACTTACTTTACATAAATAATTTCAAAAGCTAATTCGTTTTTCAAAACATTCGTAATAAGCGAAGAAGAGCTATACAATGAATGCAGCCATATTCACACACAACTTATGTTGTAGAGTATAATCTATATCAGAAATCGAAGATCTCGGCCTTAACGACCTTAACGACCCGACCAGACTATGCCGTAGCTAAATATTAGTAAATAAATAGTGATAATAAAGGTAAACAAATAAACAACAACAATTAAAAGTAGTAGACAAAACAACACGTACTAAACTATGATTCATAATATATTTAAATATATGTAATATCATTAAATCTTAAACTTTAGAAATAGAGCTGAATTAAAACGATATTTCGAAAGTGAATGAGAAAAAGCAAAAAACGAACCACTTGTTGGTAACCATTAAGTAAATAAACAATATAAGGTGCGGCCGCAATAAATGATGTGAGAGGTAATGTGTAATTGGCTAACTAACCGACTAACAATATATATAATATATATTCACACATATACTTATACGTATAGGGTTGAAACGACAAGTAAAAGCTTAAACTGAACCAAAATTTAAGCTCAATTCTTTAACACTAAAGACAGACCTCACAACCCCAATTATAAAATGCCAGAAACCAGAAAAGATATACGAATGGACTTATTCGTAAAACTTTTTTTATCGCTTAAGATACGTCAAAACAATGGAGCAGAATTTTTCGTAGCTTCCTAATAGACTTCCATTTGGCAGGTCAAACATTTCGGTTGCTACAGAAGGGTTAGTAACTAAATCGGGCCCATGTGCTGGAATGCACACAATGCATCTCCCATTAATTATGGTTATCTATAAGTAATTTGTGTAAAGTTTCTAATGAGCATTGTCGAAACTGTCGCAACTATGAACTTACCGACTTAGAATTTGTTATTATTTACACCATAGAAATAAATCATGTGGCTAAAACAAATAGAATGACGACTAGCAAGTAAAACTATAGGCCCGTTTAGGCCAGAAAGTTAGTATAATCATTTTAATAAAAATAAATATCTTATTGAGGATTAGCGAGTACACATAAAAGTGTAAAATGTAAAAATATAAAAACATCAATCATTCAATCAGATGTCAAAAGTTTCCGCTTTAATAGTATAAAACCGTATAGAAATGTTAAAACCGGCCCAGAAACTATGAACAGCTTAGCATTATTAATTTTTTTCGTCTATTTTCTCTTCAAATCGTGCTCTCATATATTTCTGAAGATCTCTTTTTTCCTTTTTTGATAAAAATATTGAAATGTCTTCGACGCAGGCGATATTAATCCCAAGATTAACTAAGGTTTCTTGTTTCTTCTCATATTGCTTGTATGTCCTACAGGTTTGGTAAAGTATAAAATATTGAAAAACTCATTTACGTCCGTAAAATTAAATTAAACCCTCTATCTAATCGTCTAATAAGACAAGGGTCGCACATTCTATGGGATGGTAAGTTTTACATTTGCGTTATTTTTATTAAAAAAACAGAAATGCATTTACTTGCATTAATGCAAGCTTATATAGCTCTTTAAAAAAGAACATGTCTAAAGTTAGGTTCATAGTGAATTATGCTGGAAGGTGCAGTAAGTTCAACCCTCCTAAAACTATAATTTCCAAATACCTCTCCACAAATGACTTCCATGCCAGAGAATTACTCTTATCTTAAACGCCCTTATCGTTGCCGTTTCCTAATATTTCGAACAATTTTCTACACCTTAGGCGTAGATGACAATTTTTGCAGCAAAACAACAACAAGTGCAACTAATCATATTTCGGGACAATAAAACTACACGATTTTCGACAATTATTCCTTTAATCGCTAAATTGAATTTTTGCATAAAAAAGCCAAATTAATTTTATTTATTTACTTAAGGCTTTTTCAACACCCGATAAGGTATCGAAGACTTTTGTGAAATGTTTAAAACAGTTTTGATTTAATTATACAAAATTTAGAAGCTAATTTTATAAAAAAAAAATCTTAATATAAAAAAAATATATATATATCTCCCCAACATTTCTGCTCATTAAACTTTACTCCATATAACAAAAATTGCATACACGTACATATGTGATCTTAAAAAAGAAACTAAGAAATAAATTCAAAGTCTTCATCTGAATCCAATACGTCGTCACAGCAAGCACGTCTCAACTCGCGTGGCGTATGATTAACATTTTCAAAATCTAAAATATAGTAAGATAAATATTAGCAAAAAAGGCGTACAGAGTTTGATTTGATTGATATGAAAGCAAAAAAGTGTTAACAAATTAAAATTTAAAAGATAAATATTAAAGAAAACCTTCTGTATCGCCATAGTTAGTAGAAGTAGTACGATCTGAGATATAACTCGAGTCTTGCAAGACAGTCGGGATGGTCAAAGAGTGATTATAACTGATTAGATCATCACTAGAGTGTGAATGTCTACATGGACTAGTAACTGCCGGCCAGTTATTCAAAATAAGATTTCATGAGTAACAGGATATCGCATGCTACCATACCTGCTACAGTAGATTTCCACTCCGAACTAGGCTTTTGCATTATTTCAAATAAAGGTTGAGGACTGGCCGGTAAAACCTCCGTTTTCATTTTATCCAGTAATATATCAAAAGCCACACGGGATTTGCACAGAAAACACTGAAGATATTAATAGGTATTAATAATTGGTATATTTTTATATGGATTGGTTTATGTATTGAATGTAAAAAACTCGACTGACCAGTGCCAATGAGGGATCCATTTGTGCAAAATTGATTCGACCTGCGTATTTTTGATGAAAAGTCTCGTCAAAATCTATTTCATCCGCGGACGTTTTTTGGCCAACTGTGCCGGAACGTTGTGTAGTGTGTGGATCTAAGTATAAAACCTCATCATCAATATAGCCCACAAAATATAAAGCTTGATTCGGCCTGCCACCAATCATTCCACAATTGCCCACCAATTCAAAACATTTTTTAAGCGCGGGTATATAAATCGGGTTAATATCACTTAAGCCCAAACGCAAGGGAATCATAAGCAATAACGGCTTCCAGCTTTCCTCATTTTGAGGCTTCTCCAAGCAAAGAGTAACTGTTAAGCAAATACATTAATAATGTTTAACGTGTTCAACGTGTCACGCGATAGTGAAATGCTTAACATATGTTTGCAATTATCTTCTTTCTTTTTCTTATTTGGCACTTACTTATATCGTCTATAACAATGACATTGTCCATGGCCACATGTATCACCAAACTACACCAATCATCGTAACGAACTAATTTTCTGCAAAGGATGTTTCTTTATATGAAATTATTTTTGCTTATGCCACAAATACCTACTTGAGCACTTGTGAAACTGTGTTTGGGCCAAACCATTGGCCTACTTTTTTATCTTCTGAGTCACCCATTAGAGCAATTTGATGTATAGAAAAGTAACTTTTACGTGAATCTTCGAAACGATTAACAATTTTTAGGTAAGTAGAATCACGGCATTCTGTGCTCCAAAACCAGTCGCGCCCCAAATGCAAGTCGATTAATGCTTGTGCCAAGACCATTTGGCCACATCTCAACATGCAACCCCAACCTTTGTCAGTAGTTAGTTGCGGTTCCCCTAAAGGCACGAAACCTCTTCTAAAAAGAGATGAAGAACACATAATATAACATAAGATCTCATAAAAGAGAGGAGGAGAACAATACTATTAGTTAAAGGAATTTTTCCGAAATAAATTTAAGGAAAGACATAATAAAAACCATCACAAACCTATATGTACACCACAGCCTCGACCTTATGTCTCGGCGTATTAAATCTAGCTCTTGTACGGCATTGTACTGTTTACCCAAAACCCACACTTTGCTATTAACTTTGGGTATATCGTCAGGTTCACCGCCACTTCCAGCCACCGCTCCTAACATTCCATCCGGTCCTAAATATGCTTCAAAAACGCTGTCCATTCTGTTACACCATTGATGGAAATTGATAAATAAAACGATGAAACGATCGGTACCACGTAAGTGCGACCGATGGAGAAGTCGAGAGGCTTCAAGATGTTAAATACCAAGCAATGGGAGCTAAAAGGATTACTAGAACACATATGCTTGGACGAGTCCAAAAACAGCGAAGGATGAGGAACTGCAATCAACTGAAATATGACAAGAGTCAGTTTAACTGATCTGTATTATAATGCCAGAAAGTGTTGTCGATTTTTCAATCCTAAAAAAAAAACATTTTATTTATAAATGTTTCGTTAGAATTTCAAAAATATTATTTACCTTTCCATTAAAATTTAATACAATCCGCAAAAAAAGAATTTATTTGATAAGCAATTACTTTTGCTCTCTTCCTTTCTCTGTGCCTCTATTATTATTTATTCTGAGTGCTCATTCCATCCTGCCAAAAATGCATTCGCTGATTTTCTATCCTGTTTCTTGACCTGTTCACTTAATTGGCAGTGGCTTTAATATTTTTAATGTAATTGTTTTCAACACAATTTTTCGCTTTTTATAAGAAGTTTAATATACGAAATCTAGCAAAACAAAGAACTTTTTCTTTGTTTTTTACTAACTTCGCTGATAGTAGGCTTGCCAACGCTACTCAAATGCAAACATAATTTCCCATAATTAAGTCATTGATTTCAAATCCCAAAATATCGAACTATCCAAATTCGAAAATGAAAACTATATCGATAATAGTAACGAATTATGGATAGTAATTTTTGATTTTATTCCATTGCATCATTGCAATGTTGAAAGCTACGTCTCGTGGTAGCCAAGGATTATCGGCTCTTTGTTTTTAGTTCAGTTGGTTTAATAAAATTAAAAGTTTTGTTGACAATGTGCTTTTTTGCTTTTTATTTTGTTCTATTTTTATATTTCTTTTAATAGGGATTGCCCGGTTTTTAACATAGTTATCAGCATCAATTGCATTCAACATATGATTTCTTCTCTTTCATTATGACACTTCTTTTACTTGCTTGACGAAAACTCGTGACATTTTTGATACTCGTTTGACACTTACAAAAAAAGAAAACACAGCATTGTGCTGTGTTAAGATTAATTATTATATGCAAACGAGGCCAGAAATTTTATCGGTGCGATCCTTTCTATTTTAACAGCTGCTTGAGAAAAGTGTTGACAAGAAGCTGGAATATAGAAATTAAGTTCGCACATTGTCCGCGAAAATTCTACAGTTCTTAGACCCTTTTTAATTTGAAAGCGGAAACATTCATATATTTAACGTCTCCCGTAACGCTGGCCATGCCCTCTCCAACCATACAATACTACGTTGCGAAATTTTTCCACTTCATTCAATATATACCCACACGACATTGTGAACAGTTTGCTCCTTATCTTTCAATTATCATTAATCAATACTTTTTAGACTAATGAAATAGATCCTTAGACTATAAGGAAAAAAAATTGGGGCTACCAGCATAGGCTACCGGTTGTTTCAATAAATGCTCTTTATTGGAAATCCAAGCACTTTTTCAGCTGACTTCTAAAAGTGCACAAAATTGATTATTTAAATCAAAAAATTCTTCATTTTCTTTATCCTCCTCTGCGTTGCTCAGCATATCAGTATAAGGGTCTTTCTTCATCAAGCTCTCAGTGGAATTTTTCTTTGATTTGCGAATTCTTTTCTTGTTCTTCGTTCTTGTGGCATGATTTTTTTTCCAGTTAGGCACAAATGGCATGCACCACTTCCACAAATAGTCATAGAAATCGAACATCATTGATGAATCACGAAATATATATTTCTTCACGTAATGCGCAACATCTGGACGAGATTTTAATAAATTGTATAAATTGTAAAGGAACACACCGCAATATAGCTGCCCCATTTTTGGAGCCAGGTATGGAAAATCTAGCAAAGCATTTAGAGTATGTAATTGAAATACCACCGATTGGAACTCGGCGAACGCATGTAAAACTACAGAGGAGTATGCATCATATTTTTTTTTGAAGATCTCGGGTATGTAGAAATGCTGCAATAGTTCATTTTGCACCAGATAACAATCCGATTTTGGTATATAAGTCATGCGATCAGGTATCGATAGAGCTTTTACCTCTTTTTTCATGCCGCGTTCACTAACACCTTCCGCCAACAGTTTGTTACGATGCAACCGTTCTTTCTTAATCAGGTTACCAAAACGTTTATGAAATAGCCTTATATTACGTACCGGAGGAATTTTCATATCTACAGTTCTCAAAACCACCAAACAAATTATCAATGCATGTAAATGATTAAGGTCAACGTGTGACGATCTATGCAACCAATAGACAACAGCCAAGAAATACAGTTTTATATCAGCGGGCAAAAATTTTATATCTGAAAACAGTGCGTCTCTGTTCAAGTAAGACATTCCATTTTCAAATATGGAGCGGAACAGTAATGGATTTGGTTGCGAAGGATCAAACGAATACATTGGATTTTTTTTTATATCGATTTCTCGGAAACAAATATTGCTGATGCGTGTAGCTCTCGTTAGATACGTGAATGAGTTGTTATCTGTCTCGTGTCCTTTAACATGATTTAACAGCATAAATATATGCTGTAAGATAGGCAAAGCGATTTCATTGCAATCATTAAAATGGAAGTGTTCAATTTGCGGGTTATTGATATATTTTTGAAGGGACATCAGATCGACCATGAAACGTGGAAAATGACCGGGATGCAATTTCCGAAGAAACCAATCAGGAAATGTTTTCTCTCCTTTGTCATCCACAGCAACCTCCTCCTCCTCACTTCTATCACTGTTAACCGAATCATCATCAGATTTTGAAGAGTTGTCTTCACCCTCTTTACTTTCCAAATCGTCAATTTCATTTCCTTGTTCTTCATCCGAAGTTTCTTCTTCAGTTGGTTCGTGCTCTTCTTCTGAAGTTTTTTCTTCAGGTGATTCGTGTTCTTCATCTGAGGTTTTTTCTTCAATTGCTTCTTGTTCTTCATCTGAAGTTTCTTTTTCGCACTCCTCCGCGAATTCACTTTCCAGTCCTTCCTGTTGCATTTCATTATCAGTTAGACGATTTTTGAAATGATTTTTAAAATAGTCTAATGAGTAACAAAGCTCATTAGAATAGCCCGAGGTAGCTGATTCCACTTGCGCCTTTATCGCAGCACGCTGCTTCTGTAATTAACTGAAGTTATTCAAATTTATTAATTAATTTACAGATCTTAGCTTGCCTTTGGCAAATGGTTCATTATCTTTTCTAACGCTGATTCTAGGGATTCATGCTTCAGCCATTCCAAAATTCTTCGTATACGCCGCTGATGTTGATTAGTTTTACGACTTCCTCCGATTTTACCTAAGCCGTACGCGAAGAAATTTTGAAATGGTTTACGCGATATAAAGTCATTGCCTAGGAGGGCGGCGAATAAAGGTATTTTCTCTTTACTTAAGGAACTGCGAGTAATAAGCTTCTCTACACGATATATGCAACAATCCAGATATTTGTATGTCACCCACCGATGTGACGTTTCTTGATTGCTTATTGTTATACCTCTGATAACACGATTGCCTTTGACAAGTTTTTCTAATTTTTTAGCTTCATTTTTCCTCAAATTTCTTCCACTTGCCGATTCTTTACGAAGTTTGGTACGGGCTTTTACCGTTAAGGTAATTAACGGTATATAACGTACATTATAGATGTAAAAGTCCGAATCATAGCTTAAAACAGGGCAATTCAGCTTACGCGCTAGAGCTGCCAATTCATCATCAGCCTCGAATAAACACCGCATGATCGGGACTCCACAATCTCTAATCGCATCCACAAATACTTCGTTCATCATCTTAGGAAAGATTGGATACGAGCCGCAAGGGTTAATACGTTTGATTAATTGAATTTTGCTGCGTAATCGGGCCCTAACCGTTCGCAATTTTCGAGGCTCATAACCGCCATCCATCAAAACATATGGCCTAATATTGCACTCATCCAACACAGTAAAAAAATTTACTACAGTTCTATAGAAATCATCATAATTTCCACCAAAAGCCGAATAAGGACCACTCGCGTCTTTATATAAATTACAAGCTAAATTGTCGCCATCAATTACGAGCGAACAATCGTGCAGTTCATAGGGAGTCAAATACAATTCGGCATGGCGGGCTATATAGCCCGTCAATCCTTTCACTCCCATCTGTATTTCTACTTGAAATTTAATTTAAATGTTTTCAACAGAATTTCTTGCTTTCACAAAAATATTTAGATACGAAATCTATTAAAAGGAAGACATTTTTTTCTTTGCTTCTTATCATTTTCACTGGTAGAAGGCTTGCCAGGGTTACTCAATTATGAATATAATTTAGCGTATTTATTATTTATCTATTTCGAATCCCAAATCCCTGATCAATGCTAAATAATGATCCACCAAATAAAGACGATAAATACGTAGACGATACTTCTCTCGACATGCCGATGACAAACACGCAAAAGGTAAATTTGATTCGCTGTCATTATAGGATCAGCGAGGTCACAAGAACTAGGGCAGAAAAGGGAAATTTTGGCAAAACTTTTCTTAATGAATTTGAAATTCGTGGTTAAAAACTGGCTGTGTTTTATCCACAATAGAGAGATAAATTTTACACCAGCAAAACGCAATCTCTCAACGACTTTATTTTATTATTGCCAACATAAGAAGAATGCTTTAAAATTTGTGTTTTATAATTCAATTCAATTGCTGACATTCAAAAATGGTCATTTACATGAAATCATTTTTAAATTTATAAAAATATGGAAAATGAAAAAAAATAATTCTAACATTTTTACCGTTTTCGTTTCGTTTGATCTCTTTGTTATACATTTGTTTTGCTTTGTTGTTATTGGTAGTCTAACATTCAATATTTACCAATGCACCAAAATAAAATGGCATGCACAGAAAAAGTACTTTGAACGAAATGGAGAAAAATAAAGGTCTCCTAGGCAAAAAATTATATATATTTTATTATAAAATTAAAATTATTATGTATATTTTATTATAAAATTCACTTACAAGTCAATTATGAATTTGAAGCTGAAAAACTTTACTTTATTTAGCAAAGTACA